ATCACGAGCCTGAGCTGAGACTTTGCAATGAGATACGTCAGGCCCAGCTTGGATTGTCCTGCGAAGCTCCTCTTAGTTTTTGCAACAGGTCTTTGGCAAACGTTGCAGCATTTGCGCGATTCGACTTTGGCTAGGTAATAGAAAGCTAGTACTTTATGTATGGGGAGTAGGCTTTCCTGTGCGCAACGCCAGCATGAACACCCGCCACCAACTTGCTATGGGAATCTCTGTATGTCTGCGTTTCCACTGGGACCAGCCGAAATGCCTATGAGCAATACCTCTAGGGAATTCAATGTGAAGAAGCATTTTTCAATCGAGCGAGATATCCATACGTCTGATGCAGGATGAAATGCGTTTTCTAGTCCAATCCCAATAGGATCGATGGAGCGCGATTTAACGGCATTTGCTGCCTTTGAGAGCACCCGATTGCTCGTACCCTAAGGATAGCATATCTGAGTTAGCCGTGACTAGCTGAGAATCTCACTTTGAACCATTATCGTTCCTTGGTAGACGGACGGTTTCGCATATGGTAAATATCCAAGGCTAGTCTGATGCACCCCCCAATATCTCTGATGTCTTCCCTTCATCGTTCTAGGTTCATGCCCCCCCCCCGTGACTCGGTACGTCATACAAAACCTCAATACTGCGCCCAGAACCTACGAGAATATCTCACTCATCCCATGTCCCATACTCACACCATCCTCACCCATCAAGCGGCTTCTGCGCAGCAAGAGAATGAAAATGCACATACGAATGCACACTCCGATCCAACAAATCCCTCCTTACCTCGATCAGGAAAACCTCCACCTCCTCGGGCGTCCACCCCAGACCCCTCGTAAACGGCCCAATCGTGATAGCATGCAACCCATCATAAATCGCCGCGCGGCAGTACTCCCCAATCTTCTTCAGGTCGTCGTCCTTCGCCCAGGGTCCCACGGGCACCTTTTTCACCTCGTGCGCCAGGTTGACGAACCCCGCGGCCGCGACGTGGGACGGGTATAGTTCGGCCGCGTTCATCTTGACGTCGAGCTTGGCGAGTGCTTCTTTGATGTTAGCGACCATTTTTACGGGGGCAAAGGTGGGTGGCATGGTGTTGTCGTCGCAGCCGTAGACCCAACGCATTTCTTGGAGTTCGATCCAGCCGCCTGGTTTTGTGACGCTGGTTGGGGTGTGTGTTAGTCCTAGTCCTATGGTTCTGAGGGATGCGGGCGAGAGAGTGTGTGTGGCTGTCCCGAGGCATGTCCGGTGGACAAGGGGTATCAGCACGGACACGGTCGGGGCTTACCGGTATGCTTCGGCGAACAGCTCCGGCCACTTTTTGATCGAGGGGGCCATGTTGCGGAGGTGGACAAAGTCAAAGTGGTTGTCCGGGTAGACCCATTCCACCTCTGCGTCGTCGACCATGAACCGGACGTTGGGCGGCACGAACTCGGGCTGGATCGGGCTCAGGTCCACGCCAATGATTTCGGCCTCGGGGTACTCGTCGCCCACTAGGTAGTCATACTCATTAGCCCGCCATCATAAAACTGCACAAGATCCCCCTCCCCGACGAAGGGGCTTGAAAAGAGTGAGTGGTTACGCACTATCAATAGCCCATATCCCCGTCCCCGTCCCAACATCGATGATTCGCTGCGGATTCTCCAATGGCGCGCTGTGCAGCTTTCCGCCGCAGAGGTGGACGACCATGGTATGCTTCATGTCCTCGCGCTCCTGCTCATCGTCGTCGTTGGGGAAGTGGTACTGGCCCTCCTTGTAGCGGTGGTACCGCCGCCGATTCTCAAAGCTGTAGTCACGCACGTGGGAGGCCAGCGACGTGGAAGCCCGCGAGGAGCCGGATTCGGTGCCGCTTGCGTAGCCATCGTCTGGGCCAGGGGAGGTTGGGTCGGGGGTTAGTTCTGGGGCTGGGGTGAGTTGATCGTCAGCTGGGATCGGGGTAGCAGGGGCTGCTGGTGCTGGTGCTGTGGTGGAGCTGTGAGCATCGTGAGGTTGCGATGCTGCGGGGGTCGCAGTGGGTGCGGCGGGTGCAATGTCTGGTGTTGAGGATGTTGGCGGCGGTTGCGCTAGTGTTGGTACTGCAGAGGAGGGTTCTGAAGTGTTTTTGGGTACCGCTGACGCGGCTAGGGTGTCTGCCATTGTCCTCCAATAGAACCTTTCGACTTATTTGACCAGAAAGTGCGAGAGGAAGAGGGAGAGTTGGAATGGCGTGAGATGCGTCGATGGAAGGGAGCTCAGGAGGAGCTTTTGGGAAACAGTGGAATGGACGGATGGGTAATCCCCGAGGCGGGGGCAACTAGACCGAACAGAACCGCGGATGCCTTTACTATGGTACGGATAGCTCAAGGTAATAAGTAAGCATCTGGTCTTCTTAATGGGCCTCGATCTGGAATAGACGGGAGTCTGCGGTTGCGACCTTGGACGCCCTTGGAGACCGTGGATGGGGTCTTTGGGGTCTCAGGGGCGGACTACTGGCGCCATCGCCCACTACTTTTTCTTTATAATCGAATGATAAATGCCGAAACCAGACAACCATGTCGCCGCCATTAACAGCCGAGGAAAGCCCAGGGGCACTAAACCCCACCAGTTTTCATCGTGAATGTTAAAGCTAACGCAGAGGCGATGCAACGTAAAGTCGTTTGAGTGTGAGTAGAACATAAATCTAAATGCTCCCTGCATCAATCCCATTTAGGCTTTCCCGCATGAGTTGTCTCCTTCTCGTATCCGTACGGAGCAACACAGTAGCACAATGGAAGCCTTCAAACTCACCCTCCCGGACGGCAAGACCGTCTCCGGGCTCCACAGCATCCCGTCAGCCGCGGCCTCCAACCCGCTCCGCCCGGCGCATCCTCCTCTTATTGTTGGCCTCCACGGCGGCACCTACTCGGGCGCCTACTTCGACGTCGACGACACCTACACCGCCCGCCATACCAGCGCAGCCACCGGTGTGCCCTTCATCGCCCTCGACCGCCCGGGGTACAACGACACCACGCCCGTCGGCGACGACATCCCCGCGTCCTCCTCCTTTTACGAGGTATGGGGCACAACGCTCCATCGTGACATTCTCCCGGCTCTCTGGGATAAATTCGCCGTCCCGAACGGATGCGCCTCTGTCGCGCTGCACTGCCACTCCCTCGGTGCACCAGGCGCATGTGTCGCAGCGGCGCTCTGGTCCGAGGAGACATCCTCCGCCTACCCGCTCGCCGCCGTCACCATCTCAGGCTTTGGCAACGCAGTAAAGAACTGCCGCACAGGGGATTTCACGCCGGCAGATGACCCCCCTCCGTCACACGTGCACTTCCCGCATGCGGTCAAGGACGCGCTCATGTTCCCGCCCGGTACGGCGGACCCTGCGATGCTGACGCACACGGCGCGCCTGGACCGCCCGATGCCGTACCGCGAGATGGCGGACCTGCGCGGGAAGTGGTTGGCGAACTGGGAGGACAAGTTTGCGGGGCGGATCACGGTGCCGGTGCTGATTGGGCTTGCGGGGCGGGACGGGCTGTGGTTGTCGAGGGAGGAGGATGTGAGGGAGTATATTGCCGCGTTTACGAAGAGTCGGAGAGTGGAGGGGAGCGTGATTCCTGGGGCGCCGCATAATATCGAGATGAGTTATTGGTCTCAGGGGTGGTATGCGCGTGTGTTTGGCTTTGCGATGGAGGGGGCGGCGTCTTTGGCGATTGGAGATGGTGATGGGGAGGGTGTTGAGGCTGGGGGGCATTGAGGATGGTATGCTAGAAAGACTGCCTTGAATTACGAGCACCTGAATTCTGAAAGCTATATAGAGTGTTATACGTTTCACTTTGGTGAGAAGTGAATGAGATGGCTATCTTGATGATGGGCACCTTGGTCCATTCAGTCTCTTTTTTACTTATCTCATCTTCACTCATCGAAGTATGCAGGCCTAGCAATTAAATTGGATATGACGTTGCCCGGCTGCCAAATACGGCCAGCCCCATCGTAGTGAGTGAATATCGAGCTATTCAACGATGAGAGCTGCATCACGATACCTGACTTGTCCTGTTCTGGTGAATGTAAGAGATATACATTGCTAAGGAGGCGGGCCACGAATGAGAGAGTACAGAACAATGCCACTGTCTTTAGCTGAGGACACCACATCAGCTTGGCTTGCTCTGATCACCAGGAATCTCATGAGGTGTGCCAGTGCAAAAGTTTCTGACGAGGAAAGGCAATTACTGTGAGCCCTGTCCAGTGTCCCAGCCAAGCACGCTGTCAAGCTGCGCAGCGGCATCAATGACACGACTCATCTCACCAGCGGCAAGGTGTCGTCCATGAAGATTTGTGTAGAACAACCATCAGACGAACGATCCGTAGGGATGGCCGGACGGACCTGCATCTCTTCATCGCCGGTCCAGTGTTAAAGAAGACACCTCATTCGGTGGAAAACGTCCGATGATCGATCCCCACCGATTTTCCCACTCTATTGACGCCACTATGACTAGTTTCCAAGTTCTCGGTGAAGGACACTCTACCTGACCTCGCACACACCCCCACCTTCACCGAGCTCTGATTTTTGAACCCCGCACACACCGGGGACCCTTACGCCGAAGCTGAAGAAAACGCCCAAGAAAAAAAGTCTAAACGTCAACCACACACACCAATACACATCATTTGCCTGCCCGATGATTGAGAACCAGTCAAGCTAATCTGCTGAAGAACGAGCTAATTCAAGAAGGGTCCAGAGTTCCAAGATCTGTGCCTTGGATTTAGGCCCGGACGTAGAATTACTCGCATTGCCGGCGCCAAAAACGTGAAGAGGCTATTTTAGCTCACACCCTGTCACTGTCACTGTCACTTTCACTCTCACAAACTCATTCGTTCACATCTTCACTCTCATCCACACAATCACACTCACTCGAACTCAAAGTCATACACAAGTTCGTTCACTCACTCACTCACTCACTCACTCACTCACTCACTCACACCTCCACTCACTCACCACTCACCCCCTCCACGTGCACACACAGCCAGCCCAGCCAGCCACGATGGATGAGCTAGTCGACTGGGCAAAGTCCCACGGAGCCGCCCTCCACCCGTCAGTCGAGGTCTACAATGACCCCAACACCGGCAACTCCTTCCGCGTCTCCCCCGACGGCGCCGGCGTCAACCCGGGCGACACCGTCGTCACCTGTCCCCTGGCCCTGACCCTCTCCTACCTCAACGCCACCACCACACCCAACCCAGGCTTCCATCACGACTCCTCCTCCTCATTCCCTCCCTCGTTCCTCGAATCCGTCCCACCGCACGTCATCAGCCGCTTCTTCCTGATCAAGCAATACCTTCAAGGCCCATCCTCCTTCTGGCACCCCTACATCAGAACCCTCCCCCAGCCAGCAAACCTCGCCGCCTGGGCCCTCCCGCCCCTCTGGCCCGCAGACGACGTCGAGCTCCTCGAGGACACAAACGCCCACATCGCCATCGCCGAGATCAAATCCCGCCTCAAGGCCGAGCACAAACACGCCCTCGCCGCGTTCGGCGACGACCCGTCCAGGCACGACTACACGCGCCTCCTCTACCACTGGGCCTACTGCATCTTCACCAGTCGGAGCTTCCGCCCGTCCCTCGTCATCCCCGCCCATAGGCAGCACACCCTCTCGCTGCCGGAGGGTTGCGCCGTGGATGACTTTTCCCTGCTGATGCCCCTGTTTGACGTGGGGAACCATAGCCCGACTGCCCGGATCGCGTGGGAGACGTCCGATGATGCTGTGAGGGACGAGGAGGCTACGGTCGGCCTGCGCACGCTGGATACGTACGCCCCCGGCGCGCAAGTCTTTAACAACTACGGCACCACCAAGACCAACGCCGAACTCATGCTGGCGTATGGCTTCACCATCCCCGAATCGGAGGTCCTGCACAACGACTACGTCCACGTCCAGAAGCGCGGCGGTGGTGGCGCCAAGGCTGCGGCGGAGAAAGGCGACGACGGCGCCGGGGTAGCAGCATCCGGGAACAACAAGCCCAAGGATTATTTGATTTCTCTCAGGCCCGTGTCTGATCCGAGCTCAGTGGCCGCGCGATCTGGATGTCTGCTGAGCGATGTCGATAGGGATGCCATCTTGCCTCCGTTTCGGCATGTGCAGGATATCATGGTGTGGGAGCTCGTTCTTGCGCAGACGACGGCTGAGCAGCGGAGCGAGATGATTCCGGTGCCGGAGGGTAGTGGTGGTGACGATGATGAAAGCAAGGCAAATTTGGAGAGGCTGAGGATGATCTTGACTGGACGGGTCCCCGCGACCACGCAACCTTTACTGTTCCAGACTATTGGCATCATCCAGCACAAGGTGCTGCAGGAGCTTGAACGGCTGGACCAGTCCGAGTTCGAGATGGAAGAGGACGAGGCGACGAGGAATCAGATCATGGCGTATCGCTATAGGAGACAATGCAGGAAGGTTTTGGAGAATGTACTCGAGTCTATGGAGATGCCCGACGAGGCTGCCTCATAATATGCATCACAGGTACCTCTGGCACAGTGCATAGACCTGGCATCACAAGCCTACGATGTTCTAAGAAGCTCGCCGTAGACAGCTCGCTCCAAATCATCATACAACCTCGTCACAACTGGATCGGCATGAGGCTGGGATTGAACAAGAAGCACCCCGGCAACGCCCGTCTCCCGATCCAGCCACCAATGACTGTTACACATGCCGCTCCACTGCAGACTCCCCTTCTTGCGCTTCCCCGGCACGTCACGCATGTTGATACACCCAACCAGTCCGTGATTCAGCTCCATATCCAGCTCAAACTCCACCGCCAGCGACCCGCCCCATTCAGCCGTGAGCTTCTCGAATTGTCTCGCCTGTCGCTCGTCAAGCTGCGGCCGGAACATCTCGTCTGCCGTCTCCTTCTTCACGAGCGTGTTATTCAGCAGCGCGGATAGGAAGAGGCTGTAGTCTTTGGCGGTGGTCCATAGACCCGCGCCGCCGCTGTCAATTGCGTTGGGACTGACGTTGCGAGGACTAGACCCCAGACTAAGAGACGATCCGTCGCTGCCGCGGATCTGGAATGCGGCGGTCCGCTCGGCGACGTGGGGCATCTTATCTGGCCAGAAGCCCGTGTCCTTCATACCGAGTAGATCAAAGATATGTTCGGTGAGGTAGGCGCTGAGACTGGTCCCCGTGACGCGCTCCAGGGCTTGACCTGCCCAGTCGGTGGCCGTGCCGTAATACCATCCTTCTCCTGGGACGAAGAATAGGGGCGTTTTGAAGCCTTCGAGTGTGCCCGAGAGGTTTGTCACGGTGCGTCCTATGGATTTGGACCATTTAAGGAGATCTGGCATGAGGTCGTAGCCCAAGCCGACGGTATGGGTTAGGAGCATCCTGGGTTGCTTTATGTTAGTATGCCACACAAAGCAGTCAAGTAGCCTTTACCAATGATTCTAGTACCTGAGTGTGATGGGCGTGGTGTTGTCCTCCAGAATAGGCTTCTCGTTCTCGTCGAAGCCGCGGAGGATCTGCATGTCTCCTAGCTCAGGCACGATCTTGCGCATGTCGTCGTCGAGACGTAGGCGGCCTTGCTCGACGAGCTGCATGACGGCGGTGGAAGTGATGGCCTTGGTGAGTGATGCGACGTAGGTGAACGTGTTGAGGGCCCAGGGGCGCGCCTCAGTTGGGAAGTCAATGCGGCCTGCTGCGTTGCTGTATAGTGTTCCTGTGACTGCGGTCAGACTCGCATGTGTGAGGATTGCAACGGGGAGAAGTCATACCATCTCTATTGATGACGATGAAGGAGGCGCCTAGCAGCTTGTCTTTTGTGGCGTTGGCGGAGGCGGTGTACTTGGCGAGGACGGCGTCCAGAGTGTCGGCCATGATGTCTGTAGTATTGGGCTGAAGTTGAAGCAGCTGATATTCCGTTGAGAGAGTTGAATAAGACGCCTACAATCAATGGGCCAGCTGGTTTTTATGGGAGTGCTCAAGATAGAAGACTACGATGCCGAATGTGGGAATCAACACGAGACGTTGCAAATGACGCCCAAAGGACACGGTACCAGGCCACGTTGTCGGAAAGGTGCGAGTTGACCGGGGGAAGTTGCGCTGGGCTCGGGCTGCCGTGTTCGGGGGCCAAGTGAGACGGGCGGATTCGGTTGCCCCGCACCTGTGAACCCCGGCGTTCCGCCTACCACACCTAAGTACGCCTGAAAGGCCAGTTTGCGTGGGCAGTCACTGGAGAGTAAGTAAGCAGTAAGATCAACGTTCCACTTGGCCTGCAGATTACTCATAATGACACCGGCCAGATCGCCTTGCATGCACGTAATTCACCTATTCTGTTGTTCACCCTGAGTCAACAGCTTAGGCTCTTCATCTCTAGGTCTTCCGCTTGGGACATGACTGAAGAACATATGATGAGCTTAATGTTTATTTTGCCGGATTCTCTAAGTCCACCCCTACTTGTGGTGTTCAAAAAGCCATCTCAATATGTTTTCAATTGAAATGTAAGAGAACAAAGTGAGTTGAGTTAGAAGTAGATGAGATGAGGAAACACGCAGTGAGAGCGCTATCGCAGGCTCATAGTGGAAGATGTCAAGGTGATTAGAAAGAAGCATAACTTCAAAACTTGAGATGAGCAAAGCCTTGGAAAACGTACCGCTCTCAGAATTCTCTGCTACAGATAGCCGACGCTTCAAGACTGTGTCTGCCACATTACATACGGCGTTCATTTCTTGAACCCTGGCCGTGTCGCCCGCCGGGGCCAAGCGCGAAACTGCCCGGCTCCGGCCCTCGGTACGGCCCCACTCAGACCCTGCCCCCTCCGGCGCGCACGAGTCAAACTTGCAATGAGGGCGGTCTTTAGTCGTATGGGCTCCCGATAAGGACATCCTATCGGTAAAATATGTGCTGAGCCGCCTCCCAGAACCTAAAAGATGCGGTCACCGCCACGATGAGACCATTCCAACAGCATTTCTGAGGCTTTCGTGTCACCATCTAAGTGTGGTTTCTCATCTGTCATTCCATTGAGCGCCTCGGCATAGGTTACTATATCTCCAGGAATATCTGTCTCTACCACATGTACCGGAAAGTCACTGCTCGATCACCCTGTGCAGACAGTTCCTCTGCAGTGAACTTGCTGTCCTCCCCAGCCGCCATCTTCCGGTCGCGCTTCTTGTTAATTCCAATGTAGCTGAAGATAAGTATCAACGCTGCAATAATACCGACCGATATGAACCCGAGCTCAAGGGCATGGCCCAGGATATACCGCGGCCCATCCTTTTGGCGGTAAAAGTTGGATGCCATGGCCTTCTCAAAGTCAGCACTTTTGCTCTCATCAATCCATACATGATATTGGGATGGGGGTGTGTCTTACGCCACCGAGATTTCCCACGCCGATTTGAACCGCCATTCCTGCACTGCGCTTGTAACTGCCGGCAAGGTTGTTGGAGAGCCAACTGATGACTCCTGGAAAAGCGGGATAGATGGAACAAGCAGCTATGAAGACGCCTCCATAGACAACTTTGGGGTTCGAGCTTGAAATGCACCTGAGTAGCGAATCTGTCAGCTGGGGAGTTTCCGCCCAAAAAGACACGGTAGGCAACCCACATTGAGAATCCAACAATCATCATGCACAGGAATCCAACGATGAAGGGGCTTCTCTTGCCAACCCTGTCTGATATGTATGCCACAATGACTGCGAGAATTGCGGCCGTGATGTAGATCGGCACAGTCATCAGCTGCGCCGTGCTGGACGTGTAGTTGAGATTTCGAATGATGGTCGGGAGGAATAGGCTGATTCCGTAGAGCGGGCATACGATCTGGTAACCAATGTCAGCATCCACTCATGAGTGGTAGTGGTCAAAGACAGCCTTACACCCCAGTAAACAAAGATGTTGATCCAAATCTGCCAATCGGTAAACGCGTCCACGACATATTTCCACTTGAACTCCTCGGCCTCGGCAACTTGCACACGATTTTCTTGCTTGCCCTGCACCTGGCCCTGGTATTTCAGTCGGAAGACGATAAACGCTCGCTCTTCCTCAGTCAAGAACTTGGCTGTCTCGGGAAAGTCGTGGAGTGCAAAGAAAGCCATAACGGCCACGAGAACGGTCACGATACCCTCGAGGATGAAGATCCAGCGCCATCCCTCCAGCCCACCGATGCCGTCCATCTTGGAGATCGCAAACGCGAGGAGACCGCTGAAGGCGCCGGCGATGGAAGCCGCGGAGAAGAACATGGCTTGGCGGAGCTGAATTTCATGGCGGCAGTACCACATCGTTAAGTAATACTAATTCTTCACATTAGCCAAACTGTCACCCACGCCGACCGAGATGATCATGGAAAGTGACATAGAGGAAACCTACCGCGACGCCAGGAAACAGTCCGGCCTCCGTCACTCCGAGAAAGATGCGAGCTATCAACAGGCCGTGGTAGTTCTTCACGATGCCCATCAAGGTCATGACGACGCCCCACGCAACCATGATGGTCGGCAGCCACACGCTCGGGCGGAGCTTCTTCAGCAGCAGGTTACTCGGGACCTCGAACGCGGCGTATGTGAAGAAGAAGACTGTGAGGCACCAGTTGTATTGATCGGCAGTCATTCCTAAATCTTCTTGGAGGCCTTCGATCTTGGCGTTTCCGATGTTTCCACCTGTTTTGTCTGTCAGTCAGAAGTCCTGAAGGAAGGGCAGGATGGAACTTGCGGTCGAGGAATGAGAGTAGGTAGAGTAAAGCCAGCATCGGGATGAGTCGAATATCCATCTAGAAGTTCAACAGTCAGTCTCTCCATGCGTTGACGACGGGAATGGGGATGAACCCCGCACCTTTCGCAGGATCTTCTTCTCATCCAGATGCGCAAAGGAAGCCAGTGTTGTGCCTTGCGCGGTAGCTATCGCATCGATTCGCTCAATCTCCCCCTTCTTCGTTACGGGCTCATGCTCTCCATTTTCAAGCTCCGAAACTTCAAGTTTCTCGTGCCGCGAGGCGTATGATGAGTCCATCGTTGCAATACCGAATTGGCTACTTCGCTTATGCCGACGGTCTCGAACTAGAGCTTGGATGCAACTATCGCCGGGACGCTGAAGAAGATGTGGTCAAGCTGGTATACGTTGACGGTTAGTTGAGCGCAATCACATAGAATGTCTCCAGTCAACCTCCATTTTCGCGTTCCATAGCTTGAATATAAACCTTCGGGTATCTCTCCGTGGTTCGGACGCAACCCACACAACCCAAACAGGTTGCCAAAGGTTCCCGTCGTCAGCGGCTGGGGTGCGTGTGAGTGTGAGCCCCATCGGAGAAGAAGCTCGGCAGATTGAAACGTCCAATAGAGAGGAGGGGGAGCGGCTACTCTCCGTTCCGTAAACCCACCAAATGGTCGAATATCCACGCCCGAGGGCGGGAGTCTACCTACCCCGCGTTGCTTATTTCGACTAAGGTGAGCGGAACGTTGGCCGCACTGACAACGGACCCACGTGGAGCTGGGGGAGGGAAGTTCTGGGATTGGGTAGCATTTGCCTCGATTGCATTAGATCAATGTGTTGAGGGATCGGCGGAGCGGAGAAAGATGGATTGTTGCTTGGTCCGTCTTGGTTGTCTTGGTTGGGATCGTGATGTCACTTGGAGAATGCGGGGGAAGAGGACGATGCTCGGCCCGCGGTCTGGAACTCTCCTCACTTAGCTGCGTGCGGCAACGGCACTGCATTCCGTTGGCTTGCATTGGGGTAGCTCAACGGGCTCAAGATCTGGGCTCCGAGAGAGGATGGGAGAAGAGCTGGTGAGTCTAGCTAGGTCGAAGTCGGCCTAACAAACAAGCGAGTTGCAATTAGTAACCGAGGTGTATCAATCTCATTTTGATGTACAGAGTTCAGAAGTGTAAAGGAGTATCATCAAAGCGCCAATAGTCTCTAACCCATGCCTTGCGCCAGCATAATCTAATAATCAGATTGGAAACAACGCAATCCCAAAGTCTTTAAACGCCTGGATCCAATCAAACGTATCAACGCCCGCTTGCTCTAGTTCATCCCGTCTTTCCCATAAACGCTGAACCACCTTCCACTGCGTCCGGCTGTTGGCAACCCGGTAGCACTTGATCCTCTCCCACCAGTGCTCCCACGGTCCGCGATCGCTGGCGTCGCACGAGGCTACAAAGGCAGGCCACGTTATGGGTGCCATGAAGTTGGTCTTTGTGGATTTCGACCGCGTCTTGATGTCCTCGACGGCGTGCATGTGTTCGGCAATTTCGGCGAGGAGCTGCTGGTGGTTTTCGCTGTGGCACTTTTGGATGCGTCGGTGGTAGTAAATGACCGCAGCCAGATGCCAGGCATTCGCGTGGTGTTGAAAGATTTTCAGGGTCTCGGCATCCTGGTTCATTGCTTGGTGGACGTCTTCGAGGCCTAGAGACCAGTTGCATAGCCGATCGCCAAGGCTCTCGCAGACCTCGAGCAATCCCTCTGGGATGGGCTCTTCAGTGCCTTCGTACCAGAGGAGATACTCCGCCAGTCGGCAGGTCTCCTCGATATCCACAGCGATGGCGGGTGTGATCCCGTACATGTATCCGAAGCAGCTGTCGGGTTCTGCCTGCGACGCGATTGGTTCGTCTATATCCTCGGCCCCCTCTGATGGCCACGGTCCTGGTGTAAAGGAGAATGAGACCGTGCGAGTGAGGAGGTATAGAAAGTCGCTAATCTCGTTCAGTTGCCGCGTGGCTCTGCTGATAACCTTCCATCGGCGTCGCGTTTTCCGCAGCTGTTTTGTGCCTTGGAGGTGAACGACGAAGTCGGCATCACTACCTGTCGTGAACTGCGTGGTAAGGCTCAGCATATATCTCACGTCACTATTGAGGAGTAGGAGAAAGAACCTACATTGCTAATGGTCACCATTGACAACATGGCCACCATGAGGAGTTTGTATTCCGATGTTGCCATGGCGGGGTTGATGGCGGACTGTAAACAATGCAGCGCTAGTTGGCGATGCTGCGACCCTAGAGTGAGAAATCTCGTCTGCTCGGGGCCGCAATTGCCGAGATGAAAGGCAGACGATGCTATTAGAGAGTGAAAAATGACTGAAGAAACGGTAGGTGTGGCCATCTTTGCTTTCGGTAGCCATTCTGATATTGCCTGGAGAGCTGCCGGGACGTACAGCTTTCGGTAAGGGTTCTGGGGATGTGGAATGGGTTGGAGTAGACTCGCAATATTTTCCACGTAGTGATGCATGAGTCTATCGATGACTGCGTCGCCTGATATGCTGGTAGATATTCGTCGCGGCAGTCTCATGTATGAAATTTCGGTTTGCGGCTGCATCGGCAACAACTCAATTGAGTCTTCCAATAGCCCTGCAATGTCGCCCAGCGAAGAGTGAAACTCTTCTTGGAGCTGATATTCTGGCGTGGCTTGGTCATCTTCTGAAGTTCTGATGAGCTCCAATTCAAATCCAATTTGATTGGGAGATGCGTCCTCTCGTGCCGTAGAGAAAGAAGGACTTGAGCTTGCGCAGTCAGTGTAGATTGGAGAGGCTATTGCATCCTTCTGGGACCGGTTTGATTCTGAGCTGTTATGAGCACTGGTGGCCAATGAGCAGTCAGAGACTGCAACATCGGGACTTCCTAGGTCATGACTCTGACTAGATTCATGACGACCATCATGGGCCTGGAAGAGAGAGAAAGGGCCCTCTTGAATGGTACCCTTTGAGGTTGGTGCTTCTTCGAGTGATGCCAAGAAGGAGTCAATGTCTCTCATCTGATATTCAGGCCCTGCATCACGGCCTACATGGGGCACACCGAATGTGCATCAGCCACTAATACCAGGACATGTGGGCAGAAAGGGTAAAGCAAGTAATTTGATGGAATGGGAATCCTACCAATCCGTATTCTTCCTCTGCCACTACTGCTACTGCCAGGCTTCTCCTTCTCGAGAAATGGATTCGAAACGTTGATCCACTGAAGCTTGATGCCGTAGCCTTCGCAAGGGATCTTCATCTTCTCACAGTTCCCGCACCCAGAGGATCTCTCATCACACTTGACCTTACGCCTCTTGCAGGTCCAGCACCTGTTGTCGCCCAATGAATCGCGCACAAGTCAGCCCACACCCCTGTCAAAGTGGTCCGAGACATTCTCCCACACACTCTCTCGGAGGGGCAGAGCAGAAAACGTACCCGGTAAAGGTCATCGACCGCTGTCCCGATTTAGGCGGCGGCATCGTGGGGTCATGCTCGGGAGCGGATCGCCGGTGGCTGGCTCGGACGGGCTCCTCATCAAGGCGCCTGCGGTGAAAATTCCGGGGTAATGCCCACCCGTGAATGCAAGGTCAGCACTCGGAGACTTTGATTGATGTGAGGAGAAGTTGGGCATGGCGCAGACGGCATACCGGGAGTTTGCGGCAAGACACCACACCTTGCTCGGACCGCGTCGAGATAAGCAGGGCCTCTTGATGAATACGGTGTTATCACGGAAAGCTTACCCCGCTGTGCACTGTTTAGGTACGTGTTCGAGGTGAAGGTTTGCGCGAATTTGTGCTCCGAACACAGTGCGGTCTTCAAACCTTGTTGCAAGCGTGGTGACTAATGATCGCGATCACCTCATCCGGATTAGACTACGAAGCTTTCGTCTGATTCTGAGAAGAGAATAAATACCGCCCAAAGGAGCGCCGTATAAATAGAAGCAACTGTGGTAAGGGGTTCCATTCTTATTACATATCATACACAATTTTTATCTTCCAATACTGGATTTCACAGATCTTTTGTTGCCAAAGAGCTTCACTCTTTAGTCGAATCCGCGTAACTAGTGCCTACTCAGCCTCTGTTGGATACGACTCAGGAGTATCGTTGACTTGAACGCCCCCTCTTTTAGCATACCTACTATCAGCAAACGGCAACGGCCATCCACCCTCCTCTTCCGAGGTAGCAAGCCAAAGTCTCTGCAACCAGCGTTTCTTCGTAACGTCGTTATCATCCTTGTACGCAGATCGCGCATGAAGGTTATGAGTGTTGGCGACAAATTGGATATCGCCCTGCTGTAGCGTCATTTCCAACGACAGTCGGCGGCACATCTCCTCCATCACCTGGATCGCCTCACGCTGGGCATCCGTGTATTGCGGAAGGAGACCAGCATCCCAGAAGCGTTGTAGAGCTCCGACGTAGTAAGAGTCCCACTTCATGCTGAGCTTTCCCTTGTAGTAGTAATAGCCGGGAGTGCGCATCCACTCTTTCTCTCCCTCGCTCGTTTCCCCCTTTCGATCGTAGAACCAGTGTGGCAGACATAGCTGGCGGAGTACGTCTGGTCTTTCTCGTCTGAGAGTGTTGTAGATGTTGTGACTGGAGACCACCTGTGACTCTCCGCCTTCCATTGCTTGGTGAAGGCACAGCAGGCCCACGATATCGCTTTCGTCCGTGTGGTATGTCTGGGCTTTCTGCGTGCGATAGATTCTGCCTTCCCCGTTGACTTCTTTGCCTTCAGCAAGATCTTTGATGTGACCGAGCATGTGCCCCTGTCTGTTTTGGCTCAATCGGCGGCCGATGTAGGAACCGATGCCAAGGTATGCGATTGAGGCTTGTCGAGTTGTCCAAGATTCGATGGGAAGACCACGCAGCACGACGAAGCCGATTCCGTTGACCAGTTGGTCTCGAGTTCGATGTAGGAAGTCTACAAAGGGGCCAGGGAGCTCGAAGGTAGCCTTGTTGACTTCAGAGAGTTGAAGGCCTCTGTCTTCGATATCGTGGACGGCAGCAATGATAAGTTTGACCTGGTCTTCTGTGAAATGATAAAGCCAGCGGCCAGTATCTTGGCTCAGCTCCTTCTTAGTCCAGACGGTTGAACCAGAAATCTTCTCTGGCATGCTTTCGAAGGGCTGCAAGAGATCGTAACCGGGTTCTCGTTGTCCGGAGCAGAGTCCAAGACCATGACCCCAGGACTGTTGAGTTGTACCAGCTGTCGACATGGTGGATGTTTGAGAAATGATGTAAATTGATGATAAAGATAAAGATAAAGATAAAGAGTTTAGATGTATCTAGTTGATCGTGGTGGCGATGCCCTGTGCCGTCCCAGTGACAAGAACATCGTGCCCGAGGAAGCCATCGATTTGTATTCGAATGGCAAGAGCAGTCGATGAAAAGATCGTATCTCTTTTGTGACCAAATAGTCTTCGTTGTTTCCTTCCCTATGGGGATGACGTCTCAAGTTGACTGAAGTATGGTATCTCATGTTGTGATGGCGTTGTCTAATCTCGACTACTGGAGGCATTCACGCTCACGTATCTGCAGCTAAGGTAAGTATACAAGATACGGTATTAGTTGGAACAATGGGTAGGAAAAGTTGTGTAATTCCGAACTTGTCACTCATTGTATCGCGCTGCGATAAGACAACGCCCGCAAGCATGTCGTGGGGAAAGAGACTCCGACAGGATCCACCTTAGCCAATTTGGGCTGAAAATGGCGTCAAGATAGGGCGTCGCTGTCAGCTGCCCAAGCTAGCAGTTCCAGGTAGCTGGATTGATTCGGGATCTCTTGCATTGATACGCATGGCAAATGTCGTGCATGCTTCCGGCCGGTCGGTTCGCCTCCCTGGGTCTGGATGAGCAGATTCTGGGGTGTCGTAATGGTGGTTGGAGCCCCTGGCATGGTGCTCTCAAGAGAAACCCAGACTGACATCAGGACCGGTCCAGTCGGTATCACAGCTGTCTTGTAAGTCACACTCCAGACCATAAAACATTGAATTCACAACATTTCTTTTCCATTTAGAAGAGCAAAATCGTTTACCTCCGAAGTCCTAAAGATGGCTACAACTACCACTGTATTGCCGTCCATTCAAATGCGAACTCCATGCCGATTACAGAACGTCGGGGCACTGAAATGCAAGCACACCGCCCAAGAGTCGAAGACACATTCATGGATGGCTTGTCAACTATTGATGGGACCGGTGCCACCATTGGCAGAAGTGCCCCCATCTCGGGCATTCCCAGATTCTCGGATCCGTATCAAAAACGCCAATGGATGCTCGAACGTATGGCCGGTGCTTTTCGAGTTATTGCTCGCAAGGGATACGTTGAAGGTACAGCTGGTCACATCTCGATTCGTGACCCAGTCGACCCTGACACCTTCTGGATCAACCCGTAAGTTGCACGATCCTCAGTAACCTACAGTACAGCCATCTCACTACGTCCTGGTATTATTAGCCTTGCTCGCCATTTCGGTCTGATGAAAGTCAGTGACATGGTCCACGTCAATGTTAAGGGAGAAATCATTGGAGGAAATCACGTGAGTCTAGATTATCGTGCCTTCGTCGGAACCAGGATTTGCGGATCAGTCAACTAACACTGCTTCTTGTAGGCATGTATCAACAACGCAGGTTTCAACATCCACTCCGCCCTTCACGACGCCCGACCCGATGTCAATGCAGCATGTCACTTCCACAGCATCCACGGCAAGGCATGGTCCGCCTTCGGGAGACCACTAGAAATGCTCAACCAAGACGCGTGCACATTCTTCAAAGATCATGCCGTCCACGACATGTTTAGCGGCATTGCATTCGAAGCCTCAGAAGGAGAGAGAATAGCTGAAGCTCTGGGCAATAATAGGTGCGCTATTTTAAAGAACCATGGTCTTTTGACGACAGGGAAGACGGTTGACGAGGCGGCGTTCTTATATACCTTGATGGAAAACTCCTGTCGTATCCAGCTTCTCGCGGAAGCTGCTGTAGCATCGGGAATTGAGAAGCACCTCTGTCCTGACCCCGAAGCTGAGTATACATACCGGTTGACTACGCCTGAGGCCATGTGGTTGGAGTTCCAGCCGGATTACGAATATGAGTTGGCTATGTCGGGTGGGGACTTTCTTTTGTGACTTTGGCTTTGAAGACAAATATCCTTTTAGGCCAAATTTCCAATCATTAGTACATCTTCTTACTTACTCGAAATATGCTGTATGGTTGGGCTGTAGGGTTGGAAAAGATCAGAATGTGTCACACACGTCTCCAGGAGGAACACGAACTACTTTTCACTTTGTTCTCAAAGATATGCGCAGTTTGATGGTTTGAAACTATGGGCACTAATGACGGGGCAGGTAGGGAAGGGAATCCTTGCAGTTAAATGTCTCCAAGTGCTATCAGCTGACACCGGATTGCTTCACAAGGCAGATCGTAAATTGACAAATTCTAACCAAATGAAATGGGGCTATGAACCATCAGATAAAACCTGCCTGCCGAGCCCTGAGGTTGACTATGTTTAATTCCAACGAACTCTGGGCGTCAGCTTCAGGTTGAACTTTTGGCCCCCAAATCAGAACGATTGGTTCGGATTGATGACTTTGATGCAAGCGCGTCTCACCTGCCGCAAAAGGGACGAATAGATACGTGGGATTCCACGATGGTGTGTAGCACAGTCTCTGCGCCTCAGTTCAGCCTGCTTGATCCTCCCAGCCCAGTGAGACATGTGCGCAGCTCTGATTGGATTCCTGGTCTTCGACTTCCACAAAAGTCGACAGAGCAGTGAGAGCACCAATGACCGTAAATCCTTCGAGATCCTGTGTCTCCTTGTGAGTATGATACTACATAAGCTGTCCCTCGCTGTGTAAGCGGTGCCAATTTGCCTAATGTGCCCATTTTCTGCGCTGTTTCTTTTCTCTCTTCTGTTCTTCCTGGATGAGGTTCTCGAGAACTAAATCCATGCCTTTCCTTCACTCTACGCACAAAAGCTCCGACGCATGATGGATTCTTCCGGCCCCGAGACGTATGTTCCTCATATTCCCCACAAACAAGTAGTTCCCGAACAACTACGGCAAAATGAATCAGCGTACTATGCGCCGACAACACCTGAAACGTATTCATCAATGCCCGTCGAAAAAGAACGTACGATTTGCGGATTGAGACCAGTGACCTTCGTTCTCAGTGTCTTGCTGGCCGCAGTGGTAGTGATAGCCGCCGTCGGTGGTGGCGTTGGGGGTTCACTGGCAGTCCAAAAAGCGAGGGAGTATGATCCAATGTCAATTCTTTCCTCCCGCCACAGATTTCTAATGGTTGACTCATAGCAATGCAATGTCGTCCGTATCATCGCCCACTACAGTTGTCACAACCACAGTTACCGCGCTGGTGCCTGCATCGACGGACAGCGATAGCCCGATAGTTGTTCCAACACGAGGGAAAATCCAGCTTGACTGTCCCGCCATGGAGGGCGAAACGAGAGCAATTGCACTATCTGACGTTGATGCCAAATTTGTTATGCATTGTGGCATGAGCTTCGGGGCAAAAGGGTCCCTAGACATTGTTGCCGTTGTAGTCTATTCGTTCTTGGACTGCCTCAGGGCTTGTGCATCATATAATCGCAACTCAGGGTCGAAAATATGCGTTGCGGCGACCTTCAACGCAGATCTGGGCAATGTTGGCGCGAACAACGGAAATTGTTGGCTTAAGAATGCGACTAGTCCCCGGTCGATATCTGACAATTCTGCTGTAGGTGGCATCTTGGAATGAGCACTTAGTCCCCTCCTCTCGTAAATATCATTATCGCTGCACCTGAGTCGTGAGGCTCTGCTCCTAGGTCGACTCCTATGACTTACTTGAGAGACAAGACAGCCATTAAAGGTATAATCAATAGGCAGTAGTTGAGTTTAGTATCATAGAGTCGATAGCCTTTAGTGTCAAGCTTTTCTGGTCCCCTGTTTCGATTATGAAACTTCTCGTTCGTCCAGCTTTAAAGCACCGAAGAAGGCGCGGTCAATTTGCCAGACATCAAGGCGTTGGCATTAATTGCAACAGTCGCCACCTTAATATATGGCACTGTCTACCTAGGTAGCTAAGCCCCTCCCCCCCCCCCCCCTCTTTCCTTCCAGTCTAGCTTTCCTTCCAGTCTAGCCCTCCAAGTTGTCTGTTTGCAGGCGAATATACTTCTTGGTACACACGCACGAGCCTTAACAATAGAACAATCTAGTCTGGTAGTCGCTATAATGACGGAGATAAGCACGAGAAGAACCAACGAAACTCCCGTACAAGCATCAGTGGCCAGCAAGCGACTTTTATGGACGCACGCTCAGCGGCTACCTTGAAAGCGTAACTCTTACTGAACTGCACCAGAGTCCATGCAGATGAAGTGCCAGACGGACTTCAAGTCCGAATTGACTTTATCAGAGGGATGTTGAATCTGCCGGCTTCATCATCGAAATCTGCACACCGGCACCAGCTGATATGAACCAATATGAACGCATCGTTGCACGTTATTTCCTCGCGGTTTGGCACCTCCCAGAGCTATTCACATTCATCGCATTATATCTCGTCATTCAGTGTTCCGATGATAGGGCATACCCCACTACTTTCGACAATCGTTGAGGCACAGCATTTTACTGTACATCAGACTCGGCCTACCTTGGCATCAACTTCGAGTCGCACCTTTCGCCTATTGAGTGCTGCGAGACTACTGGTACGCTATGATGTACACGTTAGAATCTAAATGCTTAGCTTCATTGGATTTAATAGACGAATCTGACGCAGAGTGGCCTGACACGCTGTACAACGATCGAATGGCTTACGTATACGAAGAAGGATGCCCCATGTGGTACAGCCATAGCACCAAAGCCTATCCAGCTTGATTGTTATCGTACAGTCAGACCTTTGCAGAGCTTTTTCTGAACTTCAGGTGTTTATTTTTATTGGATAAGTAATGTCGTACAGCTGCTGCGTTTGGGTTCAGTCATGACGCGCAAACCGTACATGTAGTCACATATGAGAGCAGTTCGGGTTGTATGGGTGATCACCAGACTTCCAAGAAGGTGAGAAATATTTCAAAATCAATGTTAACTTCAAAATTGCTTGCTAGGAATCACTGACTAGTCAGTAAGTAAGTGAAGAAGCAACCCTTTTTTTACACACATGGCATGCGTTCTCAGTCTAGTATTTGGTTGTTTGACTCCCTCGACTCCACTTCTCATGATCTCCTCCTTATTCCATCAAGGTCGCTCCTCTTCCTATCATCAACAGCTTTTGCTCGTATCTTCTCTTATGACAGCGGGCTTGAAGTTTTACGCCATACTTCGTGTCGGCGGACAAAAGCACACCATGGACTCAACCGGCCCTGAAGCTTACGTTCCTGATGCCCCCGAGGCCTGTACTCCTGAGATGATTCCCAAGCAACAGGCTCTTGCGTGTGATCCCCGGAAACAACATGAATCGGAACCGAATAACTTGGAGTCTCCAGAGAAAGAACGCGTAATCTGTGGATTGAGGACAGCGACTTTTGTTCTCAGTGTTTTACTAGTCATACTTGTATTGATAGCAGCTGTGGGCGGCGGGGTAGGTGGTACACTGGCTGTTAGGAAAGCAAGAGAGTATAACCCCCATGCAATACGACTTCATATCCTTGACACTTGAAATATCTAATAGCCAATAAACAGGGATGCGACTTTGGCTGCCACGTCTGCGGTTCTCTGCGGTTCCCATCACAACGATAACCGCAAAGATCCCTGCAGCCCCCGGAAACCCCATAAAAGTGTCAACATTGGGGATACTCGATATTCCCTGTCCGGAGTTAGATGGCAAACCGGAGATCGTTGAACTGTCTGACAAGAAGATATTGTTTGATCTTCATTGTGAGAAAAACTACGGAATGGGGCATGAGAACGACCTACTTGCAATTAAGGTCTACTCATATTCGGATTGCCTGAGAGCTTGTGCATCGTATAATCGGTATACAAAGACCGATGACTGCGTTGCAGCGGTCTTTAATCGAAACCTTAGCACGGCCATGACCTACAATGGGAATTGCTGGCTTAAGAATAGTCTGGATCCTATGGTTAAGACAGATGGCGGCGTTTTGAGCGGTCTCCCATAGGATTTGACGAACAAGTTGAAATAAATCCTACCCTATCATGTATATTGGAGGGTTGAAAGTACACGTACTCCTTACCTCTGATATTTAAACATTAGACTAATCCTAGCTAAGGTAATCTCTTGTGTTACTTTCAGTAAAACCGTACCGCGCTCATAGCTTTAATTATTCAGCTTCTTGCAGCTCAAAGGGAAATTCGCATCGAATTTTATTCTTGGGTAGTTTCATGTCAGTTGCAGACAACGGCAGAATAATAATGAATCGAGACTTTGGCCTTGATACGGAATCGGACACTGAAAGATCTTTAGAAGAATGCGGATAATTGACGCCAAAGGCAAACTACACTGCTCCTGCCCGTGAGAGCTAGGCGAACATGCCCGCAATGTTTACAATAATCGACAATTCGCTAATTGCCATTTAGATTGATAAGGAAGTCGGCCTTCAGCTCTGGAAGGTACTTCAGGTTTCTTCAAAAATTCCACTCCAACTGTTCCAGAATGTAGGGCTTCTCACGATCAGCCATAATGGGGACGTTTTCAAAAAGCAACACGCTTCGGGCCGTTTCAGCGGGTCCTTTCGCTCTATGCTTCTAAGAGCTAATGCCCCGCCTTGGACCTGCTTATTCGAACAAGTGCTGATACACCGCCACTGGGTGGTGCCGAGACCCATTCAACTTAATTTACACCACCCGAGCGAGCCTATGGGAAACCTGCCGAGATCTCGGATTGCGGATGCCTAAGTAAGATCCCCACGTTCAATTGCGAGATGTCCAATTGGGCTCTCTCCGGCTCTTGTTCCCATGGGTGCGTCTCTCGTGTTGCTTATAGTCTGGTCCTAAGCTCAAGATAATGGCAGGTTGCCAAGGGTAGCCACTCTCACCCGTTGTTGCCGGTGAGTTGTTGATCTGACTTTGATACTGGGGCTGCCATGTCACAAGTGGGAGCCGAGACTTGGCGCCTGTTACTCGCGTAGAACACGAAGACTTCATATTATTAGGCGAGGAATCACTGTGATAATCCAGGCCTTAGCAGAGATTGGGAACGCGAGAAGTGTCGCGCAGTCACTCAACTATTGGGCAGGAATATGAAATTGCCAACATCAAGGTCCAACACTTTACCGGGCCTATTGTTCGGATGCGAGCTCCTCAACCTGCTGACACGAACTCATTGATGGCAAGAGTGAGGTTGTATTGGAGTCTTGTGGCCAAGAGACTAAGACGTGCATATGTTAAACCGAATACATAATTAATGATTTGAGGCGACATCAGCCCCATCGTGAGGATTCAATTCCTTGCAGCTGAGCCAGCCTTCCTCGGAAACTCTACATCCGTCGACAGCGGGGCAACTCTAGGTGTCCAGAAAACTTCCAGAAGTGGCAAGCGTGGCATCCTCTCGTCTAACGTCCTCATCAGTGACTTCTCAAGGCACCTCAAGAATGTCATCTCAATGCGTATAAATAGGTTAATGGCGGACTCCTCGCTGTGCCTTTTCTCTTCAGACCATCGCCTCAGCCCATCGTCTCCTAAGCAATCTCGATCAGCGTCTCTTCACTCACAAAATGGTTAACCTCATCCGCACCGCCGGCCTTCTGGCCCTTATCCCCTTCATTGCCGCTGCCCCCACTGCTGCCGAGGCGACCGAGCAGAACGTTCCTTTCTCTTTCGAGAAGTGGGCTGAGGACATCATTGCCAACCCCAACGGCCAACATCCTTCCCCCGAGGAGGCCATAGCTCTCGCATTCAACCAGACTTCAAGCGGTTCGCAACACATTCTTGGCTTATTGCTATCCCATGCGAAAGACAACCAAAAGCTTACTGTTGTTATCCAGATGGTCTTGAGAGACGCCAGCAAGATGTCAGCTGCACCTTCAACGACAACGACAACGCTGCTTCTGTAAGTCACTTTCGCATTCCCTTCCGTCAACTTATCACAGGACTGTTGCGTGTTTACCGCACAATGATACCTACATAAGATGCAATCGCTGATATTGATCGTGTTTCATAGGTCGCTGATGCCGTGTGGTGCATCGACTTCATCGCCGCCCGTGCCAATGTGCAGTGCAAGGCCGTCGTCAGCGCCACTGTGTTCTGCCACCGTGGCCAGGCTCAGATCGCCGGCGTTGCTACCGGTGGCAACCCTCCCAGGGATACCTCCAGTCCGTGTGGCAATGTTGCCCGGTCGGCAGGCCAGATCATGGATGCTTGTACCCGTGGCAGTCTCGTCTTCGGACAGAACAACGCTTGGGGCAACGGCAACATGAGAGTGCATATCCGTCGCTAGGATGTCACACGTACTTTTCAACGACGTGAAGAATGAAGGATGAAAAAAGATATTTTGACTGTACATAGGTTCCGATGAGCACACAAGAATTGTTGGAAACGTGATTCATTTCTCCAAATTCAAGAAACTCCATTGCTTGGTTTGCAAGAGACTGTAGAGAAATTCCAAAGTCGGAACCGGCACGCCGAGTTTCTTCGCGGTTTTGATAGGATTCCCCAAGATTACCTCGATCTCCATTGGCTTGTGTCTCACCGCGTCAACCTGCATACTCGGCTTCAAAGAGGCTTCCTTGGGCGTGAATGCAACCATGTCATCCAAGATCTCATCGGAGAAGATATTGCCCGCTGCTTGGGCAACTGCCACAACATCTCTCATGGCTGGGCGGATAAGGCTGTCAAGACCACCAGCGTCCTGAATGGCGCCTGAGTCCAAGTTTGTTATGGCACAAACGGTGTTGAATGAAGCATTCCATATAAGCTTTCGCCATCGGAACCACGAGATATCCGTCTGGATATTGCATTTGGCGCCGCCATTGTTGTAAAGTTGAGCAAATGCGGTGCACGCGTTGCTTTGATCCTCGAGGGTAAACCTAGGATTTGACCAGTACGCAAGCTGAAGAATATCTGGATCATTATGCAACATCTCGCGCCCGTTGAGCTCGCACCCTATCAGCGGGACGCCTGAGAGTAAGATATTGTTCGGAAAGGCTTCGAGTAATGGTTGCTCAATATCAATGCCGTTCTGAACGAGCACGATTGACGTCTGGGCTGAGATTGCTGGACCAATAATATCCGAGATCGAGTACACATCGGGCAAGTTCTTCATGGCCACCAAGACAAAATCGAAAGGGCCATGCTTGAGTGCGTCTCTTAGGGACTTTTCCACTGTGCCGCGTCAGTATCATTACGCTAACGACAGAGCTGAACTGATAATGACTCACTGTGATGGGGTTTCCAGCCATCGATTTCCCCGTGGTCTATGCTGTTGATGTGATAGCCTTGGTTTTGAACTGAGTCATAGTTAGAACGTAGGATTACAGTGACCTCCGCGTCTCCGGAGTTCTGAAGTGTGTAGGCACACATGGTTCCGACAGAGCCGCAGCCCACTATGAGAACTCTGGCTTGTTGCATCATGGTGTTGCCGTCGAGGTAGGAAGCTAAGGTAGGTCAAGGAAAAACGGAAAGATAAGGACTTCTCGATTTACTGAAGCCGAGAAACTTGCCTGATATTGTTCATTCTTTATCTAAGATTACCATGTGTTTGATCAAGTACCTGAATCATTATCGCTGTTAAGCCTCTAAGACGCCTTAGCCCCCTACTGGAGTCGGGCAGGAGACTGCGACGCTATATCGCTCATACGTCTGACATTATCCTAGGATCGACGTACATGGCGCTTGAAACGCGCCCGCAACCCTTCCCTGGGCTCCTCCAACGACTCCTCTGCCTCCAACTCTGCAAGTCCGGTCTTGAGGTCCACCTCGTGAGAGGAGATGGCCCAGGAATCGGCGCGATGTAAGAATCGATGGACAAAGTATATAATGACAAACAAAGGCAGTCCGATGTACGCAGACAGAAAGTCTGCCACAGACCAGCGAGATGGGAAGAAGACGGTGAAACCGTTGAGCAGACAGAGAAGTCCGAACATGATTAGCGAGATGTATGATCCAACAGGCTGTAAAAAGGATCGTGCGACAAGAGCTGATTTCGGTAAATTCTGCACGTCGCAGGCCTTGCGGAAGCGGATGTAAATGATTCCGCAGCAGACCCAGGAAATGAAGCCTCCAGTGTTGACAAGATTCAGCAGCCAGTTGAAAACGTCTGCTGCGTTGGAGTTGACGTTCATATAAGCCAGGAGCGAGAACAACGAGCTGGCTATGACGGCGTAGATGGGAACTCCTTGCTTGGTGCACCGCTTGAAGATCCGCGGGGCGCTACCCTCACAGGCCATCGAGTACAGAGATCGGCTTGCCAGGTAGAGGAATGAGTTGCCGGCGGACCAGGCGGCCGTAACTACGACGGCATTGATGACGCTATCGAGTCCCTTGATTCCCGCGTTCTTGATTCCCACAACCCAGGGAGAAGCCGCGGCTCCAGAGCTTCCGCTAGTAAGAGCCGGTGCGTTGGACGGGCAGATGACGGAGATGGCAATGGTCCCGCCAATGTAAAAGACAATCAATCGCCAAAAGAAGTTGCGGGCGATCTTTGGCAGGTTTCGGCGAGGGGACTGAACTTCTCCAGCAGTGACCACAACCATTTCGGGTGAAAAGGTGAATGGAAGCACACTGCTGAGAAGAGTCGACAAGGCAGCAACGAATCTGCCGGCGTCGCCTTGAACGATTAGCTCCTTGGTAGCGCCGGGATCTTTCCAGTACCGGAAATAGAGTCGCTCGTGGGATGGACCGCCGCCGAAGAACAGGACGATTGAAAGGATCAGCAGACCGACAATGGTCAGAACCTTCAGTCCAGCGAACCAAAACTCCGTTTCGCCGTAGAACTTTACAGGGAGGAGGTTGAGGCCGACAACCATTACCAACATGATCGTGATCCAGACGGCATTATTGACGTTCGGGTTCCAGTACTCAATGACCAAGGCCGATGCCGTGAGCTCGAAGGGGACGAAGATGGCAAATGAGTAGAAGTAGAGCCATCCCATCATGAAACCGAGACTTCGCGAGACATAGCGGCTGCCGTAGTAATTCATGGTACCGCCTGGCAACGGAAGGTACGTCGAGATCTCAATAACTGCAGTCAAGACCATGTAGATCAAGGCTGACATAACAACATAGCTGCCAACGAGGAAGGCCGGTCCGCCGCGGGCGAGGGTGCTGCCGGAACCGACAAAGAGGCCGGTGCCGATGGTTCCACCGAGAGCGATGAATTGTGCATGTCGGGCAGAAAGGCCGCGCTTGGTTGAAAGTTCTGCAGTTTCCGTAGCTTCGATGGATTCCGGGTGGGATGATGCTGCAACATGGCTTCCGACCTTGTTGTCGCTGTCGCCTTCTGTCTTTGTTTCCATCATATTTGTTTGCTGATGTTCGCAACAAGGAGAGTGCGACGGCTCGAGGATTAATGATGCAGAAGTTTGGGGACAGGGATGTTGATAGGGTTCATTGAACAAGCTTTCCCGAAAAGCTTCACCCTGAGTCTCTGACTAACATTAAACGACTTGAGATGTTACCTCCCGACTGCATTTATATTTATACTTGAAGAACCTTGTAGATGTTGAACTCACCATACTTTGAAGATATTCGCGACTCATTTGTCTAGCTCAAAGAGATAAGCCAACCTCTTATCTAAAGGCGCGCCTTAGCCCATGATAGCGCGTGAAACATTCCCAAAGATATCGGAGTCGACTTCCAGGAGTCGGCTTGACCGATGTGGGGGCCCTATTCCCGGCCGTTGGAGCCGTCGGAGTCTCTTGCCTTTGATTAACTCTAATCGTCTGATAGGTGCATCAAGGCTTCAACCTATCGGCCTCGAATCGGCGTTGGTTCTCCTCACTCCAGTCGTCATCTGAACATGCACGCCTTGTCGGATATTATTTAAGCAAATCATACGATGGGCATCATACAAAAATGTCACCTACCAAAGCCAGATCGACTGCGAAACATTCAAGCCAAGGAAACCAATACTCACGTTCAATATGCGTCTTGCAGATGCAATCCTACTCTGCGCGGGTGCTGACCTTGCAGCTGCCCTAAATGTTGGCCCGAACTATCAATATCCCCTTGAAGGTATGTTCAGCTGTCTCGGCGGTTATTTGCAAGGTTCTCAGCTAAGCTTCTCCCCAGATCTGGACAAAGATCTGCCTTTTTCCCAGCCTGTGACATTTGCGCACTTGGAATGGCAACGTTGTTTAGCGGAGTCGCATAATAAGGTATATTACGTGCAGCTCAAAAGTAATGTGAAGTTTCATCTGACCCCGAGTCCAGCCTCTAGACATTGCCGTTCTGGGATTCCCTTATGACACCTCTACTTCCTACCGTCCAGGAGCTCGCTTCGGCCCGAGAGGTATTCGAGCTGGGTCGTCCAGGGAGAAGAAAGGGCGTAGTTACAACACCGTGTGGGAGGTTGACCCTTACGAGCAGGGGCTGGAGATTGTAAGAGCTTATCTGATTGAACATCTTCATGGATCATGTAGCACTAACACAAAGCCGCGGCGAAAGATCGACTGTGGAGACGTGCCCATCACGCCATTTGATGCCAGCCATGCGTTCAAGCAGATGGAACAGGCGTATCGACAGATTCTTTACCATCCGACCACAGATCAGAGTAAGCCTATTGATGTTGGCAACAACAGGCATGAAGAGTCACAGCCGCTGACCTCATTATAGATGAATGGGAACACCCCCGCATTATTAGCCTTGGAGGTGATCACTCTATAGTCTTGCCAATTCTTCGTAGTCTTAAGACCGTTTATGGACCCATCTCAGTCATCCATCTCGACTCGCACCTTGACACGTAAGGCTCTTCTCATCAATCGATACTGGCTTAAGTCATCAGTCACTAACAATACTAATACGTAGATGGGATCCTTATGAAGGCTATACAGGAATCGTTTCGAACCAGTCCGCCATCACTCATGGAACCTTCTTCTGGCATGCAAGCCGAGAAGGATGCATCAGCAAGGGCACCAGTGTTCATGGCGGTTTGAGGACCAAGCTCTTTGTGAGTAGCGAGTTGGTTTTATGGTTGTTACTTTGATCTGACAAATTGAAGAGCCCGAAAGACTATGAGATCGACAGAGATGTCGTCGGATTCACCATAATTGAAGCACATGAGATTGACGATATTGGCATGAGTGGCATCGTCAAGAAAGTCAGGGACGCAGTTGGCAACACGCCAGTGTATCTTTCCATCGACATTGATGGTAAGTTGGGACCATCCCACCATGACAAACATTCAACTAATAACGCTATAGTCCTCGATCCGAGCATTGCCCCAGCTACTGGAACGCCAGAGTCAGGCGGCTGGACAACGAGAGAGCTGAAGCGATTCCTTAAGGGTCTTGAAGGGCTCAACCTGGTTGGTGCTGATGTCGTTGAAGTTAGCCCGCCCTATGACTCTGTAGCCGAGACAACTTCCGTCGCTGCCGCTGACTTGATTGTCGACATCCTGGCTGGCATGACGAAGAAGAAGACCTTTGATCCGCCCAGAAACGAGAAAGACGAGTTGTGATCATTGCTCTTTAACCTGGAGAGAAACGAGAGGTACTCACCGCGAAAAGAGAGCGCCTAGAGGGGAATTTCAGCTGCTCGAGAAGAACGAAAAAGACTGAGCTATTAAGTTGATGAGAGGGAAAGTTTTCAGGACCTAGATCGTGTTTGTCCGCTCACATCTCCCCTTTTTGGCAAGTTATCCGCTATGCCAGGGGGCTTGCTGACGGTGCTTATGGCGATTTACGTAACCTTGTCATCCCCCCTGCTCCCTCAACTCAGTTGAATGTGAGGATGCTTGAGGTCTACTTTTTATTGCCATCAGCCCTATTGACAAAGGTTCTTCTGGGACAAGAAAGAATCAGTATCAGGGGAAGAGAAGATCATCCAAACTTTGAAAAGAAGCATAAATATGTCTGGGGCCACATTCCCTAGGGGATCGTTGCAACCACACCGAAAATCCGTTGCAATGGGCTAATCCACAACGGTCTTCAGTGGGGTTGACAAGGCCTCAACGTCGTATTTTGTAATTAATATCCACCTTGAAGAAAACGGTGCTGGATAGCCATCTCCTTTTCTTCCGGAAATCCCATCCTGTCAATATGGTTTTCACGTTCTCTACATCTTGAAAGTGTTGGCCGATCGACACAGCATTCACTTCAACGACATGTCGCCATCATCTGCAGCCCTTGCCATGGTGCTCTCTGGCCTGTTGCCCTCAGTCCTGGCAAGCACTTGCAGCAACGCAACTCAATCTGCGCCTCACGCCCTCACATCCCAAGGCCTGGTTAAGGGAGACCACGACGCGAGTTGCAACTCGGTGTTTCTGGGCATCCCATTTGCTGCCACAACAGCTGGCAAAAACCGATGGAGGGCGCCGCAAGATGTGCCAAAGTCCAACACGACGTTTATTGCAACTTCATATGGTCCTACTTGCCCTCAAGCAATTCCAGGCACTCTCTACAGCCAGCAGGACGAGAATTGTCTTAACCTCAACATCTGGGCACCCTCGACAGGCGAGAATTTGCCTGTGTTCGTATACATGTACGGAGGTGCAATGGTCACTGGTTCAAGCAGCAATCCCCAACTCCAGGGGTCCAACTTTGCTCGCAATGGTGTGATATACGTCAACTTCAATACCCGCGAGAGTATCTATGCCTCCCCGCACTCGTCAGAACTCAGCGAAGCGTCTCCTGAGGAATCACAAAACTTCAGTATTTTGGACGTCGAAAAGGCACTCGACTGGGTCCGTGCCAACATCCATGCGTTCGGAGGCAATCCCGATCATGTTGTATTCGGTGGTCATTCGTCCGGAGCCGTGCAGGTCGATCACTACCTCTGGAACCACCCAGATTCGTGGCTCAAGGGAGCAGTGCAGATGAGTGCGAATGCCATGTCTGGACCGGCATACGCGCCACTCAACCAAGGACTCGATGCTGTAGCGGCCGGGGTTGGCTGTCCGAAGACAGGGGATAACCAAGTCAAGTGCCTGCGCAGCGTCGACTCGTACGCTTTCCAGACGGCCGACTTCAACTCAACCTTTCATACCTGGTTCACTCCAGTCATTGACAATGTCACAAGGCACTCCGATTATGCTGCAAGGTTTGCGGATGGTCAGTATGCATCACACGTGCCCCTCCTTACGGGAACTTCTGATGGTGAGGGCACCATCTTTAGTCTGGTATATGGCGCCGAAAACAGCAACTTTAGCTCTTGGATCAATACTTTCGATGCCGATAGTGCACACATTGAAGATGATGTCCTACTAGCGGCGTATAATGCTTCCGATTACGAGACAGAGTCCCTCAGAAGCGGTGCTCAGTATGGCGACGCCCGTTTCAACTGCGCCGTCGACTATCTGCTTGACCTGCGCAGTGCCAAGCAAGACACCTGGGTCTACAGATTCTTCGGAGCTTACGACAACGTGGTTGGTGTTCCAGGGACGGCACCCACACACGGAACCGAGGTGCCCTTCTTCCATGGAGGCAACGAGTGCTTCGGTTCACTTACGGGCGTAACTGAGGCACAGCAAGCGCTGGCCGATTCCATCCATAGCTGGTTCGTGGACTGGATCAAGAACCCGGCTGCTGGGCCTGGATGGGCCAAGGGGTCACCTCAGTCTGGAGCTTTGGTCAAGCTCGGAGTCCCTGGAGATGAGCTGTCTCTCATTCAGGGGTCAACCAGCGATTTCAATGCTCGCTGCAAGTCGGTACGTATCCTGCAATATCTCACTTGCTAGATGAGACATCTTACTGATCACATTTCAGGTCTACGCACCTGCATTTCCCAAGTACCCGGTCATTCAGTCTCCTCTCTAAGTGGTGTTCTGGCGTTCCTGAGCATGCAAGTCCAGCACCGACTCTGGAGATAGAGGCAGGACTTCGGAGATATTACATGTAATGAACAGGGCTGGATCGTAAGCATGCACGCATTTTTAATGATCATCTTGCTGGCTCGGTCTACAAGCATGCTCCTTCATAATGAAACCACTACTTAGAACGCACTGTTCCTGTATCTACTAAATTCGAACATGTACATCTCACTTCTGTTAGACGAGTAAACCCGGAAACTTCATGTAAGTGATATCTGCCCATACTGCTGCGGCTTTCACTTATAGCAGGCCCAATTGTGACGGTATTCTCAGTTCAAGTACACAGGCTTCTCCAAACAACTGGGTGTTCTGTTCATAGTCCGTGGAGAGGCCAGATGAGCACCGAAGATCCTTTGGGAGCCGCTACCCTGCCACAGTGAATCGCGAGCTTCCGACCCAGCGGGATAATAGGAGAGGGGGCAATCACTGGGTTTGTCTCTCAGTAAAGTAAAGAAACTAGTGTCTTCCAGGAGGTCGATATCCAATTTGCAAGGTTCATCAAGTAATACATTCGTAGAAACTCCTTCTTTCTATTTGATAATGATTTGAGGCATTAGAGCACGCCTCACACGCAAGTACCTTATTGCAAGCAATGCCTCCTGGTTTTAGCACAAAGTTCACGACAGATAGGTAACGACATGGACCCTGGTCACCTGCTGGTCGCATACTGGCGAGCCTCCCCTTTTCCTTCGTATCTTTGTTCTTTGGGTTGTTATTTTGCTACATGGCTACATGCCTTTAAGTTGTAAGCAGGCGCTCTTGTTTGTCATGTCCCAGACTTGATGTGCTACGGCTATCCTCATATGTTTTCTTTCTTTCTCTTTTTTTTTCTGTTCCCTAATCTGACGGAAGGATCATCGTTTATGAGCAGACATTGATAGTCCCCGGTTCAAAAGGTTGGTCAAGTACAATTGCCCCCGGTTCCAACAGCAAACGGCCTGCCAGGGGTTTACGTGGTCCTTGTTCGCGTGCAGAATCGAAAGACGCTCGACCCTTCACTTTCCCAAGCGGAAAGACTTTCCGAGAGGTTCCCTTGCCGACTCCATTTACCCTCACATGCAGTATGAGAACTGGACTTGAGTTCCACGACCCTTACAGAACAGCCCAACCGGAGAGACGGATATGGCCTCCGTCGCCGGAGATCCACTTCCGCCCTGGGGTATGACAGTTAAGTGGGATATCACTTCAACCGCATATGACCCGTCATATTTGATGCTTTGATTTAACAACAACCAACAGCACATTCTCCCAGTTCAGAACGTATTCCGCAAAGCTGCCAGGAGCCTAGTTGCCACTATCGCCAAGATCCCACCAGTCATTTCTCATGAAAGAGAAGGAGGAAGAATTCGGCAACACATTGCCAATGGACAAGATGCACATGAGTGGGAAGTAGACTTGCGGTCTTCACGCGGTCAAGTAATGCGCAAAGATTGAAGGGCCAACATGTTTACTAGATTATTACATGTACCCGGTTCTCCGGTTAGATTACTCTATTCGGCAGGTTCCTCTCTCATGCAGAATCTCAGTTGAGATAACAGGTGAATTCTCACCCAAACCCTACAAATAGGATTCAAAGATTTTCTGGAACTTTTCCCGCGTAGCCTGACTTCCTACCCACACATCCTGCTTCCCATCGACAATCTCGATGTCGGTACCAACAAATGTTGCGACCATGCCGTTACCAAAGGCCCCCTTGTCGATGAAGACATGTTCATCAGGCTCAACAACAGCAAGGTAGTAAGGATGAGAAAGCATTGCCGTGAGGACCGCGGGAGACTTGTACAAGAACATGGCAATGCCGTCAAAGTCAACAGGGACGGTAGACGCTGGCACGGTTGAACCTGCTTCGGTGGGAAGAATCTGGCCACCGACTTGGATCTATGGCAAGATCAGTTCATGTTCCTTGCCGGCTCGCGGTAATGCAAAATCGGGGGTTCAGTTCACAAACCTGCTGGTAGCGCGTGATGTTGAAGTGCACAGCCAAGGGGGCGACCTTGGGAGCGTGCTGGGTCTGCCAGTAGTCCCAGAACTGCTCCTGGGTCAAGTTGGTCGCTCGCTTGACGTAGGTGACCATCTGCGCCTGCCCAGTGTTTGAGCATGCAGCCATGCCGCTGGCGATCAGCGTGGCGGCGATGGTGAGAGGGGTGGAGAGGCGGACCATCTTGGCTAAGATTAGGTTGAAGACGAGGGTGAGAACGGATGGAGGAGCTGCCCGAGTACCTGGACTTGACTTGTATCTCCTGGGGTTTCAGAAAGAAAGAATGGAATGGATCTGAGCCTTTATGTCTTTCGATCTTGGGGTACTTTCGGGCCGGGGCTTCAGTTCAGGTTGTCGGAATCCAATATTGTCCACGATACCATGCTCCATTGAAATCGGTCTTCAAGGGTTGCTGTTGTTTGCGTCGTTTTCTTAATGGACAGCCCATGGTTCGGTTCTCGCGGTTGGCCGATAGAGCGTCTAGACTCGTGGTCCAGAATTAATCAACTGTGCTACTCATGGTCTCACGGGATTGTGATCCGATCCATTCCGGTTGATAACGCAAGGGTTGAGTGGCCAGGTATCACATCCGTCAGGACGTCCAACTCACATTCGCGAAATTTGCTACATGTAGGCAGCCCTATCCTGCGTTGCTTGGCCATCTGGTGCGTGA